AAAAACACAACAGGCCAAAGCCTTTGGGATGCAGCAAAAGCAGTCCTAAGATGGCAATATGTAGCAATACTGGCCTACCTCAAAAAGCAAGAAAAATCTCAAATATGCAACCTAACCTCACAACTAAAGGAGCCAGAAAAAGAACAACAAATGAAGCCTAAAGCCAGAAGGAGGAAGGACATAATAAAGATTAGAGAAGAAATAAATGATACAGAAACTAAAAAAACAATAGAACAGATCAATGAAACCAGGAGCTTGTTCTTTGAAAAAATTAAATTGATAAACCTCTAGTCAGACTTATCAGAAAGAAAAGAGAAAGGACCCAAATAAATAAAATCAGAAGTGAGAGAGGAGAAATAACAACCAACACAAAAGAAACAGAAATTTTAAACAATAAAATATGCTTGAGTAACATATATTTAATGTTATATATATAAATATATAAAAATGTGTACAATATCATTCCTGACATTATTTATTTATGTTTTTTCTTTTTTCTCTCTCTCTTTTTTTAAAGATTTTATTTATTTATTTATTTGACAGAGAGATAGAGAGCACAAGTAGGCAGAGTGGCAGGCAGAGGGAGAGGGAGAAGCAGACTCCCCATGGAGCAGGGAGCCGGACGTGGGATCATGACCTGAGCCGAAGGCAGACGCTTAACCGACTGAGCCACCCAGGCGCCCCTCTTTTTTCTCTTAATTAGATTTGCTTGTAGTTTGTCTGTTATTTTATTGGCTTCCAAAGAATTTGGTTTTTTGAAACTAAAAACTTTTTTGTATTTTACTGTTTACTTTAAATTTTTTCTTTCTTCCCCTGTTGGTTTATCTAGTTATTCTTTTTCAAGTTCATAAGTTGACTGTATAATAATTTATTTAAAACTATTTTTTGTTGTTTATTTTGTTTTAAATAAATGCACCTGTGGTTTTTTATGGTAGCAATTCTTTTATTGTTGTTCTAGATATTTTGTCATTTCCATTGTGATTTCCTCTTTACTCATTTTTTTTTTAAAGATTTTATTTATTTATTTGACAGAGAGACACAGCGAGAGAGGGAACACAAGCAGGGGGAGTGGGAGAGGGAGAAGCAGGCTCCACGCTGAGCAGGGAGCCTGATGCGGGGCTCGATCCCAGGACCCTGGGATCAGGACCCGAGCAGAAGGCAGACGCTTAACAACTGAGCCACCCAGGCGCCCCTACTCATCATTTTTTTAAGGAGCATTTTTTAGATTAACATATAGAGAATGTTTTAAAAAATTATTATTTTTATTGAATTCTAACTTAATGTCATTGTGGTCAGGAAACACAGACTGATTAATAGCCTTTTAAAATTGTTGAAACTCAGGGCACCTGGGTGGCTCAGTCAAGTAAGCGTCTGCTTTCGGCTCAGTATCAGTTCATGATTCCAGGGTCCTGGGATATGAGCTAACAGCGGGGAGCCTGTTTCTCCCTCTCCCGCTGCCTGCTGCCCCACCTGCTTGCTCTCTCTCTCTGTCAAATAAATAAATAAAATCTTTAAAAAAAAAAGAAAAAGAAAAAGAAACTTATCTTAAAAAAATTGTGGAAACTTTCTTTCAGACATATTATTTGGTCAATTATTCTAGATATATCTGAAAATAAAATATTTCTCTTTTTGTTGACTGTACTATCTAGATTTTTTATTTATTGACTTTTTTATTTTAATGACTACTATATTTTTCATTTCTATGATTTCTATTGGGTTCTTTTTCATTTGAACCTGTTCTTGTTTTATTTCCCTGTATTTTTGTTTCATAGTTTGGGGTCTTTTTTTGTAATCAGTGATCCTGTCATATATTTCTGTATGTATCCTAAGACTACTTAAAGCCTCTATCATACTATACTGCAAATTAATCTGAAATTAATTCATGTTCTGATTGTTGACTTTGAGTTTTTTTCTGAACATTTCTTTACATGCTTGGAATTCCTATTTGTAGGCACACAAATTTTTTTGTTGCCTTTTTTTTTTTCTTTCTTTCCCTTTGTGCTCATACCATCGAATGGTTTGGGGGTTTCCTTACTTTGGCCAAGTGCCCCAGTCCAGCGTCAGTTCTCATAATATGGTATTTCAGATTTCCTGTTCTGCTATGTTGTCAGGGAATATTACAGACCTGGTTAATGAACCAATGGGCTGCTTGGTTAAGCCCGGTTGTATTTGTGTCTTTTTACCTCTTCAAGGATTGGTTCCAAGTAAGCTATAGCCCCAATCAGGCCTTGGTGACTTTCCATAAGTCCCTAGTTTGAGCTAGAACCATGAACCCACCGCTAGTCCATGTCTTGAGAAGTACTTTAACTCTTTTCACTTTATGGCAGCTGACTTCCTGTTCACTTCCACTTACTTTTGGACTTAGAGCCCATTAAATCCATGGCTTAAATCAAATCACAGCCTTGTGTTTGGGTCATTCTTCTGGTCTGTGAAAATGCTTGTCTTGTTTTAAACTGGCTATATTTCTCATCCTCGCATCTCTCTCCCTCTCTCCCTCTTCCACCTTCTGCCTCCTTCTCCCTCTCCCTCCCCCTTCCACTTCATCTATCATGCAATGTATTTGAAGTAGAGGGAAGGTATTGAAGGGTGATTTACTGAGCTATCTTATTGGAAATTCACTTAAGCTTTTAAAGGAATCTCTACAAGAAAAGAAAGTGAGAAAGAAGAAAATAGAGCATTCAGCTTCTAAAGGAGCAATGAAAGGTTGTCTCTTTCTCTTAAGATCATTTCCTGCTTGCAAAGTAGAAAACTAAGTTATAATTACTACCCATTCTCTCCTAATAGCCAGGGCCTTTATGGTTACTTTCTTATAATCTAGCATTTTCCACTCTCACTCAGACCTACTTCCTTCTTCTCATCCCATTTAAGACTTCCATTTCCTAAAGAGTCATGAATACTTAGCTCTCTCTCAGTTTAGTCCTACAACTAAAGTATTCCAACTGAATTATAAGTAAAGCTTGTGACCTTAATGAACTCTTCATTTGTCAATGTGTGGGGTATACTTAGTGTATGAGGGGTGTGGGAGGAAGGGAAGCTGGACTTCAATACATACCTGTTCTTGCAAAGGCTCAGGAACAGCCTGAGGAGCCTCTGAAATGAGGCCCCTTGAAGTAAGGAGGCACCAGTCATTTTGCTATAACTAAGGTCACCTGCTAAGAAGAGGCGCCAACATGGAGAGCTTTCTAAGAGAGGGTCAAAATGAAGTGTGTGTATATATGCGTGTTTGTATGTGTGTCTCTATGGGTGGGGGCACACGTGCTTGTACTGCTAAACTCTTATCCTTAGGAATAAAAGCTAAGGGCGCCTGGGTGGCTCAGTTGGTTAAGCCACTGCCTTCGGCTCAGGTCATGATCCTGGAGTCCCAGGATCAAGTCCCGCATCGGGCTCCCTGCTCAGCGGGGAGTCTGCTTCTCCCTCTGACCCTCCCCCTTCTCATGCTCTCTCTCTCTCATTCTCCCTCTCAAATAAATAAATAAAATCTTAAAAAAAAAAGGAATAAAAGCTAAAATATTAATCTAGGGCGCCTGGGTGGCTCAGTCAGTTAAGTGTCTGCCTTCGGCTCAGGTCATGACCCAGGGTCCTGGGATTGAGTCCCGTGTCAGGCTCCCTGCTCAGCGGGGAGCCTGCTTCTCCCTCTCCCTCTGCCCCTCCCCCTCCCACTCATGCTCTCTCTCCCTCAAATAAATAAATAAAATCTTTAAAAATATTAATCTAATGGTCTTTCTGTTACCATCTGGAAATGTTTGGGTATTCCTGATCAGGGACCAGGATTATAAAAACTACATAAATTGTAAGAACCACTCAAAAAAAAGAACTACTTAATTGCTCCATGTCTGCTATGTTTGTTTTCTACAAAGGTTACCAATAAATCTCTAAATTAAACCAAAAGGACCCAAAAGCTTATCTTTAAGAGAAGCAAGGGGCGATGTTGGGCACTTTAGTCCATTCCATTGCCAGATTTGGGGAGGAGAAGTATGGACCTCAACCAATAGAGTAGTCGTGGTAGCTTCTAAAGGAATAAAGGACAAAATGGATGTCAGGGACTTTCTGCATGGAATCTGGTTTGGGTTTGAAAGGGATCTCTAGCCATCAAAAGACTTATGTGATGGCCTGAAATCATCACACACACACCCCCTTTACTTAGTTTTACAGGGTATATAAAACATGGACTAATCTTTCAATTTGGTTCACATAGATACTTAGGCTGAAGAAAGTCCTTTAGCCTCATTTGGCTCATTAAAACAAAATTGATGCCTAAGGAGTCAAAAGAGTCACAGGCCTATCAAGAGTCTGATGGAATCTGTGGCTCTCTTCACAAAAAAGTGCATACATAAATTTTGTGTAGAATTTCAGCTTGTAGGGGCCTGGTTAAGATATTTCCCCACCTAGGGAGAAGCAGTGGGCTCATGTAATAAGACTGTAAATGTTCCAAATTACCAATCCTCACAAGAAATGGGACCTCACGGATTCCCCAGAACCTCCCTCCTCCCCCAACACCCTTCAGCTTCTTTGGATGGTAGGTATTATCGCCACTCATATTCATTCCATTGCTGGTAATGATCTGCAATTCCGATTCAACAATATTGATCAAATGCCTTCCACCCTGAGTGTGTCCAAGGCCACACATAAAAAGAAAATTTCAAGTAGAATTAGGTGGCATCTTTCTCCATGAATCATTCTGGTCTGTAAGATCCCTGATGCCCAAAGAGATCTCTGATCTACACCATGCAGCTGTTGTTAGTTTCTTTCATTCATGACCATAACCACTGATGTTTTCTCTTAGAAATTTTTTCTTAAGTAAAATTTTATTATTTTCTTTATGACTATAATGCATATTTTAGATCCAGTGCACACAAAACACATTTCAGCAGCTTTAATGCTTTCTCTTTCAGTAACATGGACATGATATTAGGAGAGTTTCCTAAAATCTGCACCATCATTTCCAATTCAGCCTCTCCTCCGTTTTTAAGACAAGCAGTAGTTGGGTTTTCCTATCACCATCACGGTTCTGCTTCTGGGGCTGTTTTCTCTTCCTCAACTGGAGATTCCTTATCAGACCTTAGCCTTTCATCTTCATCAGGTACTACTGTAGTCACTGGACCAACCCCCAGCCTTGACTGCTCTATGGGAATCGCACTGACATTTCGATCAAGGGAAGGAAATCTGAAAGTTATGTAGTTGAGGAAGGAGATGATCCCTAGAGGAGAAGAATTTGAGGTGAATTTCAATAGATAGATAGTCTTTAGACTTTTAAAATTCTTACTCATGCTTTCCTCAGTTCTAAAAGCCAACCCTCCTCTCCCCCAGCACAGTTACTTTATCCTCCTGTGCTCTCATTGCATTATAGTATTTCTCACATGGTGAAGACAAAGCTTGAACCTCCTAGATTCAAATGATGGTTCTACGACTTTCTGTGTAGTCTTAGGCAAGTCACTCAACCTGTGCATGCCTCAGTTAATGGTAGAACAGGTTGCTAAATTTAGGTTTCCAGACTCCAAAATCCATGCTTTCCTCACCATACCATGCTGCCTCTCCGTGTATGAATAGTCTAAATAGGAACAGTCAGTGCTTCTATTTCTCCTAGACTTCTACCTCCCTTTCAAGAAGTGACTTCCTCTTCCATCCTTCTTGCATAAGGGGACTGACTCACCAGAAAACGTGTATAAGAAGTCACTCCACCAATTAATATGATAGGCCCATAGGAGATCTGGCTCCAAGGCATCCTTAGCATGCCAGTGAACCTGTGCCAGAAATAGGACGAGGCAGAGGAGCAGGGAGATGGCTAGGACCAGAAGAAAAGATGTCACAACCCATCAGTGTCTTCAGTCTGCCTTGACCACCCCCCCCAACTCTCCTTCTGCTTCCAGATGCCATATGTATGGCAGAATTAAAATTTAGGGATTTACCAAGATGGGAAAAAGAAAGGAGCTTCTACCTCTCCCCCAGGCTAAGTCAGCTGAAGTGTGTTTTATACAGTAGGATAGGGCAGGTGGCTGGCAACTTGATGTGATACTGAAGAAGAGGAAAGGGACAAGAAAAAGAGAATGAAAGGCCCACGGAGAAACTTGGTTCCCTTGACAGTTTCACCCTGGTATTACCCTGCCAATCTAGGTCTGTACCTGAGATGAAGCTGAGTATGGATACCTTCAGATCCAAGTTGGTGGTTAAGCTTCCTCTTCTAGGCAGGCAAGAGCTGATGAGCCAGCCAAGGGCAACGAGTGTGGAGAAGAGAGAGATGAGGAAGAAAGCCCTGGAAAACTGAAGGTAATCTGCCAAGGGAAAGGAGAAAGGGAAGGCTTGGTTAGTCCAGCAGGGGAACCTCTCTTAAAACCAGACAGAGTCTTAGAGAAGGGCGTGAGAACTAAAGAGATGAAGCAGAGCTTGCCATGTGGCATCCAGGGCACAAATAAGGATCTTATTTCCCAGTTTTTCCACCGATACTCAGAATTTATTTACTGTGAAGGCAAAGCCTTCATTGTAAAACTGAAGATAATATACAAATAGTTCTGGATGCATTAACCCATTTAACTTAGATGTAAACTAGCTTCTAAGAAGTGTGACTCTAAACATCACGGCACGTATTAAAACATTTTCTTATTCCTAATTCTAATTCTAAAAGTAATACGTTGTTCAATATAAGCATTGGAAAGGCTACAAAAGTGCCAAGAAGCAGGAAAAAAAAAGCCACAATCCCACTACCCAGGGCAGCTATTGTTAGCATTTTATATTATTTCTTTCCAGTATTTTTCTATCCTCTGTACATACTGGGTATAATACTGAATATCAAGTGATTTTTTTCTTAAGATTATATGGTAAGATATTTTTTCCCCAGTCACCTGTTGTAAACATCATTTTTAATGGCTACCGAACAATTTATCATATTAACATATTTCGCTTAATGATTTAACCATTGTTGGACTTGTAGTTTGTTTCTATTTGTTTTTTCTCTTTTAAATCTATCTGGCTGGCATAAGCCTTGTCAGCCTATGACTATAAAACGAAGTCCCATTTACTTAAACTCCCATACTATAATGATTTCAAGCCTGAATTTACTGGATTGCAGGAATTTAACACCCTAAAAATATCTTCTATTTGTTTTTTCTTTTTTTTTTCTTGAGAGTCCCTCAAGGCCCTGCCTCATGTTTGCTCAGGGAGAGGTCTGCTAGAGTTCTTTATCTCCAAAGCCCTTACCCAAGTACCATAACACTGCTTCCTTTCTCATCTCCTGGCTCAAGATCTCTGCTCTCTGCAGAGTGAATGTTGGTAAGAGAGAAGAAAGGGCGTGATAAACATTACTTTTTGCTACCACCTCCCTAATATGAAACAGATGCTTCCCTTGACTTCGAGAGCAATTTTTAAAGATACATGCACCCCAATGTTTATAGCAGCATTATCTACAATAGCCAAATTATGGAAACATAATCAACAGCCCAAGTCCATTGATTGATGAATGGATAAAGAAGATGTGATACAGATAAATAGATATAGATATATATCTATATTTCTATATCTACACATATATCTATAAATATATCTATAGCTATACTTGGATATTACTCAGCCATAAAAAACAATGAGATCTTACCATCTGCAATGACATGGATGGAGCTAGACAGTATTAGGCTAAGCGAAATAAGTCAGTCAGAGAAACACAAATACCATATGATTTCACTCATATATGGAACTGAAGAAACAAAACAAACAAGCAAAGAGAAAAAAAGTGGGAGAGAGAGAGAGGTAAACCAAGAAACAGACTCTTATCTCTAGAGAACAAACTGATGGTTACCAGCACGGAGGTGGATGGGGGAATGGGTGAAATAGGGGATGGAGATTAAGGAATGCACTTGTTGTGATGAGCACCCGATGTCATATGGAAGTGTTGAATCACTGTATTGTACACCTGAAACTAATATAACACTGTATGTTAACTAACTGTAATTTAAATAAAAACCTTTAAAAAAGGAAATAAAGGATAACACACAATTGCAAGTAAATATAGCTCTCCTGAGATGCTACAGATCCTGCAATCTCTTTAATATCCTTTAGAGGGTGCCTCCTTGTCTAGCTTTTTTCCTGTCTCAAGGAAAGGCTTGCCAGCTCGTCTCTACCACTGAAAGTTCTCTAAGCACTTCTATGCCTGAGAATCCTAGTCCAGCTTCCAAGTAACCCAGAGAGAAGAAACTATATCAAAGCTTATCCCAGTTTAAGATCTGCCTCTTAAGTCTTATTTTGTTCTCTAGAACTCACCACTTACTAACATCATCGATAATAGTAAAGTCCATGAAGAGAAACCACACACCTACACATAGAGGTGAGTTGTTCTGTGGCCAAAACAAGTTAGCCACATTAAAACATGATAACCCAAGAGCAACGCATTTCCTGAAATCTGGGTCATTCAGAATTGCAGGATATGTAGCCAGTCAGAACCATCAGCCTGCTTTGAGCTGCAGGAAGCCCAGTGTGATAGGCATCGTTCATGGTATTTAGCCCACAATCCCCCACAAGACCTAGCAGCCCTTGCCTATAGCCCTGGCCCTTTGCCTATAGTCCCCTGACCATAGCTAATTGGAAAAAGGAAGGAGATCTGACCTAAGTTGGACCAATTTGATTCTTATGCTTGGAAATTTGGATTTGAGACTGATTGATGCTAATTTCCTTTTTTGCTTGCTTGAACCAAGAAGATACATAGCCAGACTGAGATATCACTTTTTGGGCACTTGCACACTAATAAACAGGAAAAATTGAGCTGTAGTGATAAAGCAAAGTATAAACAAAGATGAACGACAAAGCAACTCTAGAGAGACTAAGTGGTAGGCTTGATTTTCTTCGTCTGACATCCCAGTCTCTTCTGGAATCTCCTAAGATACAACAAACTTCCTGCCTTTGGGAATCTGTGAGATTCTTCTGAATCTTCATGAATAGGTTCACTCTTTATTTTTTTAAAAGATTTTATTTACTCATTCAAGACAGAGATAGAGAGCATGAGCAGGGGGAGAAGCAGAGGGAGAAGCAGGCTCCCTGCTGAGCCAGGAGCTGGATGTGGGGCTCCATCCCAGGACCCTGGGATCATGACCCAAGCCGAAGGCAGACGCTTAACCATCTGAGTCACCCAGGCACCCCTAGGTTCACTCTTCAGCTTATGCTAGTTCAAATGAAATAAAACACAAAAGTATACTGAGATATCCAGTCCAAGTCCTGTCTAATATGTTATGGTCTAGTCTTTCTTCCACCAATGAGGGGAAAACTTGCCTTCATGTGCTTCCAATCTTCTCTGTCTTAGATCTTCATCTCCTGAAACTACATAAACAAGATCACTCACACCTCCAAAGGAACAGCTAAAGATTTGCAGCATAAGATAGTCTCACCTCCAAAGGAAGCAAGCCTACTAGTCATACACAACTAATTATCTGACCAAACTAAACACTTAGCTCCATAATATAAAATGGCTGCATTTGGTTAACTTTATGGTATTTTTTCTAATTTACTGAGCAAAACAAAAGAAATATCCTAAACCTGAGTTTGAGCCCCCATCTCCTATAAGACCAAAAGCTATATCAGCTTTTAAACATCAGTTTTTACAGCAGCTTACTTGTCAAAGTTTCAAAGATCTTAGGACCTAAGTTACAAAAGGCCCTACTTGTCAGTAAGAAGTTTTGGTCCAGGAAAAGAGAAGTGCCCTAGATATAAGGAACACCCACGGGTAGGTCATCTGTATCCAAACATTTCTGAAGATTTCCTTAGTAATATTCTTTAATGTGGCCTTGGGTTGCAGGAAAAGCAAGGCCAACACCCCAGTTTACTGAAGGCAATGAAGCTAATGCCCTGGGAAGAGAGGGGATGTCACTTTCAATTTGGAGAGGAAGAAGTCCGAATCATTTGAAAAGCTTGGTAAGATCCTTGGTAGGGTCCTCAGGGTTGTCCCAGTCAGTGATTCCGTACTTCAGAGCACCATCAGGTAGGACATAAAAGCTACCAAGACTGGAAGGAATACGACCCTACCGGAAAGCAGTAATGATTTCTCAGCGAACTGAGAACACTCACCATTTGGTGGTTTGTAACTGGGCAGGATCTCCTGGAATTCCTCTTGCTGTACCCTAGGTCCTTCAGCAAAAATCAAAGCCAGGATAGGGAGGCAGTGCTCCAAAAGGATCAGGATCCTTTTAGTTATGAAGGAGCTAGACTGAGTGAATAGAGGTGGGATTGTGGATATGGATGAAGAAGGTGCTGCTGAGGGATCGGCCCACTTATTTAGCCAAATCTAAACCTCCACACTGTTGACATTGCATCTTTGTTCCAACAACAGAAGGCTGAGACAAAACCTCCCCAGGCTCAAGGAAAAGAAGGTGGTTTGGGAATGGAAAAGATCGTGGATGGAGACCTAGCATCCTGGAGAGGAGGCTGTGAAATTGGCTGAGGATTTAGGTTCCCTGGTAACCTGGTTGGAGTGCCAGAATTAAGCATCCCCACACAGCTTGGCTGTGTTTCTTGTGCAGTGGTTCCCAGGGCCCTGGCTCTGGAGGCTCCAGTGCTCGGACTAAAAGACCTACCCTTCTCTGCCACAGTCTTCCAGATGGTTTAAGTTACCCTCTGTGGCAACACGTTCCTTTACGCTATGGTCTGACCTCACCTGTCCTACAGGCGAGGTAACAGAACGGTCTGTCCCACACTTGAGACCTAGCAATAAAAGAGAAGGATGGTGCCTACTACCTCCCACCCCTTCTCCATTCTATTAGCAACAGCTGCAGCAGAGGGGTTATCAGTCATCTAGAACCAGGAAAAGTCAGAGCCAGAGCCACAATGGCCTCATGTGAGTCCAGGACACAAGATCATGAGCACACATATTCTTGAGCCCACCAGAGAGAGTCCCCATGAAACTCTCAGAAATGACAGGGGGTACCATAGGAAAGGGGGCTGAATTCTTGCAATCAGTAGGTGAAAATTCAAAGTTCTCGAATTTGGATAATAATGTTTGGGTCAATAATAACATACTGTAACAGGTTCATGAGGCCTGGACATACTCATTACATTTGGGGAATTCATTATGAGCTCTGTATTGCAGACTACTTACTGATCTTAGAATTAGGACTAGTTAACATTGGAAATAGGGTAGATACTTGACTTATAATTGTGTACTTAAAGGACTCAGTTGACCTTCTCTAAATCATTAACAGTTGGCCTCAGGTGAATTCCAAGCTGCAAGAAATAAACTATTTGCTACTGTAAGTGACAAAATTCCAAGATTCTGACTCACTAAACATTCAAATAATAATCTCAAGTCCTGAATTTTAGCCTGGGCACAGTTACATAAATATGATGGCAGCTCAATTTTTATGCCTATATCTTTTACTCCATTTCCCTAGAAATGGAATTCGTGAGTGTAAATCTCCAGATACACATAATCATATTGCTTTGGTTGTACCCATTTATGGTCCCCAGTGTATGTGAGAGTGTCCAGCATTGTGAATCATCATTTAAACGTCCTGTTTGAAAAATCTTATCTCATTGTTCGTTTGACTTGCCTTTCTTTAATGATTAAGGTTAAAATGGTTTTTCTGATGTTTATTAGATACTTTTAGCTTTTGTTCTATGAATTGTCTATTTATCAAGAATTTATTGGGGTATTCACCTTTTTTGTTTTGTTTTGTTTTGTTTTGTTTTTTAAAAAAACATCAAGGCCATTTGTCTTTTATCTTTCATATTTGTTGCAAATGTTTTCCCTAGTTTTTCTTTTAAGCTGGAGATGTAATTGAATTGTCTGCCTGCCTTTGATTGTAGTTTCTTCTCAAGCTCTTTTGTTAGGGTCCTGCTCCTTAGTTCCACATGCCATAGATGCTCCAGTTCAGGGTTGAGCCTAGGTGCAACCCCCAACTCCACCTCCAGCAATTGGGGCCCCTGCTTATCTGAGAAGGAGAAATAAATGCTTTATTCATGCATGTTTTCTTTCACAATACCTGTTTCTCTATGTAAATGTATCTTTTGAGGATGATGGGGAAACTGTTTAGTGTAGTTATGTCTTTCCTCTAAGTCTTGGTTCTGATTTAAAAACTTATGCATATGGTATCTTCTAGCCCTAGAAACTTATTTTTAAATGTTTTGTATTGCATTTTCAGATTTACCTAAATTCACATAAAATTTGACGTTAATAATGTATTCTACATAGCTGGCATTTGTTATTCCACATATCTGACATGCATTTCTATTCCCTTCTACTGTTGGTGGAAGAACGAATTGACCTTAAAAGTTAAATCTGAGGGCGCCTGGGTGGCTCAGTCGTTAAGCGTCTGCCTTCAGCTCAGATCATGATCCCAGGATCCTGGGATCGAGCCCCGCATCGGGCTCCCTGCTCAGCGGGAAGCCTGCTTCTCCCTCTCCCACTCCCCCTGCT